GATCTTCTAGCGGCCTCCCAGTACCTGAAGGGGCTACAAGAAAGCTGGGGAAGGACTTTTCATAAGGGCAGTTAATGACAGAACTAGGGGAAATGGGTTTAAGCTGAAAGAGGGGAGGTTTAGATGAGATATTAGGAAGAAGTTCTTCACTGTGAGGGTGGTGAGACAGTGTCCCAGGTTGTCCAGAGAAGCTGTGGCTGCTCCTCCCTGGAAGTGTTGAAGGCCAGGTTGGATGAGGCTTTGAGCAACCTGGTCTAGTGGAAGGGGTCCCTGCTGCTGGCAGGGGGGGTGGAACTGGATGAGCTGAAGGTCCCTCCCAACCCAAACCATTCGATGATTCTATGACTTATCTCTTCATAACCCTCTCCAAGACTTTTGTGTCTCAGGAACACTCTCACTGTGTTCCCTGTAACCCAAACCTGAAGAAGCAGCAGAGTATCAAGTCACCAGGCAGAGCTGTATCCCACGGTCTGCCAAGGGAAAAGCATCCCACTGGTCGCAGGGTGCCACCACGTAAAGAGCTGGGCTATTTCTGGAGAAATAATTGCCTTAAATTACATTAAAAGCTTTCAATATCGAGCAAAACAGTGACTTTGATTTGCTTTATTAGGAAAATGTTTAAAAGTAAAGCAAGATATTAAAAGAAACACGGAGAACAGTGAAAGACAATACAGCAAGCTGCAGATCTTCGATAGGCTTTATCAGGAACTGCCACCAGTTCGCTGGTTGCCAGAGGTGAACTGGTGGATTTTCACGCAGTAATAAGCCCTGAAAGCTGACCTCCCCCCCAAAGCCAGCACCAACTGGGCTGGGTTAGCCAGGTAACAAAGTGCATGAGATCCACTTACGTTTTTTCCATGATGAAGCAAACAACAAAATCAGAGAGAAAAGCATGTCTGTATCTTCACAGGCTTCTAATGGAAATTCAGCCATAAAGTCATCCCTTGAGGCAAACTGAACAAGAAGCTGTCTTGGTGTAGAAAGTTTAGGAAATTTTTTTTAACAGGAACTTTAATAACAATGCCTCTTATGAGAGTACATATAGCATACATACAAATGTCCCAAATTAAATCATGGTTCCACTGTGCTGTACTCTATAAACACAGAGAAAGCATTCTTGCCCCAACATGCTTACGTATTTTGAGTACTCAAAAAAAAAGGCTGCCGGTGACCCTGGTATTTCTGGAAGAGTTGCTGGCTGGTTGGCAAATAGCAATATTGTGACCTCCTAAGTAACAAGAAAGAGAAATGCAAACAACCAAGAAGAACAGAGCAAAACAAAAATATTTCCATAAGCAGAACTTTTTATATCCTGAGCCCTCTGACTCCAGGGTTCAGAAGGGACATATTAATGTGCATTATGTGACTCTCAGTACCTCACAGTCTTCAATAAATTTATTTGCTAGGAAACTCAGCAAGAAAACAGAACAAGTGAATTGGCTCCAATCCTATGACTAAATTATTCTGGAAGATATAACTGAACTGATGTGTAGGGTTTATTTGTGGACCTCAAAAAATCATGGCAACATTGCTCTCCTGTGCTCAAGGGGAAGCAGGTGCTGTGAAAACAGAGGCCTAAGCAATCTGAAAACAAACAGCAATCAGAAACAGGCAAAACCACTGTAAGGTCATCAATGGCTTGCTGTCTTTGCTGGTTTGTTGTAGACACCATCTACTTAATTCAGAAGTCAGAAAGGAGGGAACATTGCAGGGCCTCACTTCTTGCAATAAGGAGCCAAGGAAGTAAAGGAGAAAGAAAAGATATTTCCATCCTAA